AACCCGTGCACTATTTCTTTTTTCAACTGACCACAACTAAATAGTCGGGCGATCATTTGCCTCCTTCAAGTAACCGCAGCCGTGCAGATTCTCCCTTTGCAAACAACAACCGACTCCACGGACCGCCGCCTGGCGGCCGAGGGATGCGGACACCGCCGTGGCTTCTGACCAAGCCGGTGGCACATCGTCGTCGTCTCCCGCGGGCTTCACGCCGCGTCCTCAGAGGGCTCTCCGCACGCCGCGGCTGCGTTGCTCGCGCGGCTGCTGAACCACTGGCGCGAGGCGAACGCTTCGGCAGCTGCAAAATATTTACGCGATCCATGTGGTGCTAAATTAGACGCGGATTAAACGCGTTAAACACACAAATCACTCCTTTGTCGTGAAGGCGAAACGTCGCGAGCATGGCTTTTGACTTAGCGTAACACAATAATGCGGCAGTGGCCGGCCAGCAAGAGGGGGTCGCACAATCGGGCACTCTCAGCGAGCACCGCGGCGCTTCGCTAGCCCCTCCCCCCCTACATCCCCGCCAGGAGAGCCCCCGGTTTCAACTGCACATCGTAAATAGACGTTACAGTGCAGCAGAGGCAGGGCAGAGACCTGCCGAGGCCCCGGTTTCCCTGGCAAAAAAAAAACCGCGCGCGGTTCCGCCACGCGGCACGGCCACTCGCAAGCGGCGAGCTGCGGAACGAGGTCGGCGTCGAGTGCCGCGTGGTCGACGTGAGTTGGTGTGGGAGCGAGGTGCGACTCCGCCAATCAGAGGAAAGCAGCGGTGGTGGCTCTCGCCCTGTGCTTCGACACGATCCTCCAAGGCTCATCTCAACTTTTACTCACAGCGGTTCTTGGAAGTCGTTTGTCCGAGCCAACTTAAGTCACGGGAAATGCGTCCCAATGAAATGTTGATTATGGTCGTGCACCGCTTTGGATTTCTCCTCTCTCAGCGCGGTTGTTTTTATATCCCGATATCTATTTGCGTTGTCGTCACGTTGTTGGTGAGCCCCAGGTCGCTCTCGCCAGACGAGACTCAGCCTGGCCTCTTGAGTCAACCTGAAACGCGCACCAGGCGGTGACGCGCCAACGTGCGGGCACGGACGAAGCAACGCCAACGACCACGGTTGGCCAAGTACGGCGCGAAAGAAGTCTCCCCGTACAGTCCACGCAACCTGCATTCGCGTGAACAGCGGCCCTGTGCCCGCGTGCGCTCGCGGGGTCCACGGCGCGCGAGAGACTGCGGTGGAGAATTGACACCCGCGAGACATCTCTCAAGACCAGCCCATTGTTTGCCGGTATCGTGGCTCCAATTTTTCCACATTTGGAAATTACCCACAATTTGGCAAATTGTGTCAAATTAATAACAGCGCGGCTCCCCCACCACCACCGCGTGCGCCAGCGACGGTCAGAAGCGCCTGTGCCGAGTTAGGGCCACGGCCGCCCGCAGCCCAGGGACCCTAAAGCTAACAGCGTGCAGATGAGGCGAGAGAACTCGTGTGTGTGCGTGTGTGTGTGTATGTGTGCGTGTGTGTGTGTCTGTGTGTGTGTGCGTCTGTGTGTGTGTCAGTGTGTGTGTGTCAGTGTGTGTGTGTGCGTGTGTGGGCGTGTGTGGTGTCTGTGTTGTGTGCGTCTGTGTGTCTGTGTGTGCGTCTGTGTGTGTGTGCGTCTGTGTGTGTGTGTCAGTGTGTGTGTTGCGTCTGTGTGTTGCGTCTGTGTGTGTGCGTCAGTGTGTGTGTGCGTCAGTGTGTGTGTGCGTCTGTGTGTGTGTCAGTGTGTGTGTGCGTCTGTGTGTGTGTCAGTGTGTGTGTGCGTCTGTGTCTGTGTGTGTGTGTGCGTCTGTGTGTGTGTGTCTGTGTGTGTGTGCGTCTGTGTGTCAGTGTGTGCATCTGTGTGTGTGCGTCTGTGTGTGTGTGCGTCTGTGTGTGTGTGCGTCTGTGTGTCAGTGTGTGCGTCTGTGTGTGTGCGTCTGTGTGTGTGTGTCAGTGTGTGTGTGTGTCAGTGTGTGTGTGCGTCTGTGTGTGTGTCTGTGTGTGTGTGCGTCTGTGTGTCAGTGTGTGCATCTGTTTGTGTGCGTCTGTGTGTGTGTGCGTCTGTGTGTGTGTGCGTCTGTGTGTCAGTGTGTGCGTCTGTGTGTGTGCGTCTGTGTGTGTGTGTCAGTGTGTGTGTGTCAGTGTGTGTGTGTGTGCGTGAGTGTGCGTCTGTGTGTGTGTGCGTCTGTGTGTAAGTGTGTGCGTCTGTGTGTATGCGTCTGTGTGTACGCGTCTGTGTGTGTGTGTGTGTCAGTGAGTGTGTGTGCGTCTGTGTGTGTGCGTCAGTGTGTGTGTGCGTCAGTGTGGTGTGCGTCTGTGTGTGTGTGTCAGTGTGTGTACGCGTCTGTGTGTGTGTGCGTCTGTGTGTGTGTCTGTGTGTGGTGGTGTGCGTCTGTGTGTGTGTGTCTGTGTGTGTGTGCGTCTGTGTGGTCAGTGTGTGCGTCTGTGTGTGTGTGCGTCTGTGTGTGTGTGCGTCTGTGTGTGTGTGTCAGCGTGTGTGTGCGTCAGTGTGTGTGTGCGTCTGTGTGTGTGTCAGTGTGTGTGCGTCTGTGTGTGTGTCAGTGTGTGGTGTGCGTCTGTGTGTGTGAGTGTGCGTCTGTTGTGTGTGTCAGTGTGTCAGTGTGTGTGTGTGTGCATCTCTGTGTGTGTGTCTGTGTGTGTCAGTGTGTGTGCGTCTGTGTGTGTGTCAGTGTGTGTGTGCGTCTGTGTGTCAGTGTGTGTGTGTGTGCGTCTGTGTGTGTGTGTCAGTGTGTGTGCGTCAGTGTGTGTGTGTGTCAGTGTATGTGTGCGTCTGTGTGTGTGTGTGTCAGTGTGTGTGTGTGTGTCAGTGTGTCAGTGTGTGTGTGTGTGTGCATCTCTGTGTGTGTGTCAGTGTGTGTCAGTGTGTCAGTGTGTGTGTGCGTCTGTGTGTGTGTGTCAGTGTGTGTGTGCGTCTGTGTGTCAGTGTGTGCGTCTGTGTGTGTGCGTCTGTGTGTGTGTCAGTGTGTGTGCGTCAGTGTATGTGTGCGTCTGTGTGTGTGTCAGGGTGTGTGTGCGTCTGTGTGTGTGTCAGTGTGTGTGTGCGTCTGTGTGTCAGTGTGTGCGTCTGTGTGTGTGCGTCTGTGTGTGTGTGTGTGTGTCAGTGTGTGTGCGTCAGTGTGTGTGTGTCAGTGTATGTGTGCGTCTGTGTGTGTGTGTCAGTGTGTGTGTGTGTGTCAGTGTGTCAGTGTGTGTGTGTGTGCATCTCTGTGTGTGTGTCAGTGTGTGTGTGTCAGTGTGTCAGTGTGTGTGTGCGTCTGTGTGTGTGTGTCAGTGTGTGTGTGCGTCTGTGTGTCAGTGTGTGCGTCTGTGTGTGTGCGTCAGTGTGTGTGTGTGTCAGTGTATGTGTGCGTCTGTGTGTGTGTCAGGGTGTGTGTGCGTCTGTGTGTGTGTCAGTGTGTGTGTGCGTCTGTGTGTGTGTGCGTCTGTGTGTGTCAGTGTGTGTGTGCGTCTGTGTGTGTGTGTGTCAGTGTGTGTGTCAATGTGTCAGTGTGTGTGTGTGTGCGTCTGTGTTTGTGTGTGTCAGTGTGTGTGTGGCAGTGTGTCAGTGTGTGTGTGTGCATCTGTGTGTGTGTGTGTGTCAGTGTGTGTGTGTGTCAGTATGTCAGTGTGTGTGTGCGTCTGTGTCAGTGTGTGTGTGTCAGTGTAATAAAAACTCCGTCAGGCACTGCTGGTCTCCGTCTGTCTTTTATTCAGGTTCTTCTCCGCACCCCCACTGGCCTCCTCTCTGCGCCCCGCGCACGCTCCCTCTCGCGTGCCACGCACGCTCCTCCGTTAGCTCCTCTATTCCCGCACTCCGCACACCGCTGGCCGACGGCGTGCAGAGGTCCTTCGGCCACGTGGCCGATGGCGCGGATCTTTCCTCACCACCCAACGTGGCTCAGCCTCTTAACTTCCCCAACTGAATAAATCTGTAACAAATAATCTTGTGCCGGAGGCCCCGGGGGGACAGGCGTCTATGACGTCTCCTGGCCAAACCCCAATTGGCGGAGCCAGGAGATTGAATCTTCACCCTCGGGGCTCCTCCAGAAACAACGTAAAGCCACTTCGTGTGGCCACGTGGAATGTTCGAACCAGTGGTGGCTCCTGCAAAATCTCTCAGGGGGGGCAAATGTCTGGATGATTGATAAGGATAAGGTCCACCCATGCAATGGATAAATTAACAGCTTAAGCATGTAAAGGCAACTTCACTTCTTTAATATTAATGAAAAATAAAGTGACTCTTACAATACATCTTGTTTGTTCCTATCTCACTATTATTACAATCTACTCAGTTTCTTTTATTAAAGATTCCACGAGGTGGCGACAAATAATATTGTTGACTAAAACGTGCTTACGTATGATGACGTAAGCACGTGAGTGCGAGCCCTCCGGAAGCCATA